AACATAAATGCCAAACTCATTAGTATTATTTTTTACTTAAATAATCAGTTAACTTAGAAATACATTTTAACGAAATATATGTGAGGCAAAAGTGCATGTACAATGTTTTGGAGTTCTTCAATCGTTTATGCAGATAAAGTTTCCATCTGGTATCATTTTCACTTGACACCACAAACTTTCTTTACCATGATAGTACAGGTAAGAATATGAGATATTGTTTCGACTTTTATTCCTGAAAACTTATTTTATTTTGCCTTTATTTTTGAAGGACATTGATAGATCTAAAATTCTAAGATGACAGGTTTTTTTTTTTTTCTTGATTTTACAGTGTTTTTCTATTGTCTTCTGGCTCACGTACTTTTCGATAAGAAGCCTGTCATTTCCTTATCTTCATTATTCTGCAGGCACTGTCCCTTTTTGTTCCTCTGGCTAATTTCAAATTTTTTGATTCCTGACTTTTTTTAGGAAAATTGATTATGAAGTGTTCTGGTATAGTTTTATTTGTGTGTATCATGCCTGAAATTTGTTGATCTTCTTGAGTTTTTAACATTCTCGAGGAGACCCCCACATAGAATTCTGTAGCCCTTTTGTCTATAACTTTGACACACAATTCTAGCCACATTGGTTTCCCTGAACTTTCATCTACATTTTCTTTTCTTCTTTCTTTCTTTCTCTCGCTCTCTCTTTTTTTTTTTTTTTTTGAGATGGAGTTTCTCTCTTGTTGCCCAGGCTGGACTGCAATGGTGAGATCTCGGCTCACAGCAACCTCCACCTCCCGGGTTCAAGAGATTCTCCTGCCTCAGCTTCCCTAGTAGCTGGGATTACAGGCATGCCCCACCACGCCTGGCTAATTTTGTATTTTTAGTAGAGACAAGGTTTCTCCATGTTGTTCAAGCTGATCTCAAACTCCCGACCTCAGGTGATCAGCCCACCTTGGCCTCCCAAAGTGCTTGGGATTTCAGGCGTGAGCCACTGAGCCTGGCCCCTGTGTCTTCTTTACTTAACAAAACTGCTGGGCTTTGCCTGCAATTCCTCTTTCTATACCAACATATGGCAAGGATCTTCAAAGAAGCCAAAATGATGAAGGTCTCATTTTGTGGGTTTTACCTCTCTCAGGGATCTGAGTCCTGTATTGGTTGTTGTCCAGTGTTGAAAAATAATTGCTTTATATATATATTTTTTTTCATTTTTCTAGTCATTTGTGAAAGCAGGGCAAGCATAGTCCCAGTTTCTCTATTATTACCCAAGGAAGAAATCTTACTTTCAGAAGATTAAAATCTTGCAGAGTATGTTTTCATGATGTCTCAAAAGCAATCAGGACATAATATACTTAAACTTAGTTTCTAAATATACTTCTCCACTAAAATGAACTAAGAATCCTGGATAAAAGTCTGATTCTAGAGCTAGGGCAGAATAAGTACAAGATGAACCTATGATATATTGTTTGCTAGCAAGTAAGGACATGGTAAAATTATGATGGACCAGAAAAACACAGAAGCCAGCTGAAGGGAGTCCCATTGACTAAATTTGGGATGATTTGAGCATCAAAATAAATAATGGTAGTAATGGAATATAGCCTATTGAATACAAATGAAAGAGTGAATAAATAAATGCATATATATATATATATGTATATACACACACACACACATAAAGGGGAAGAAGGCAAGTTTCTCACAGTTAAATACCAACTAATAAACATAGATGGACAGATGGAGTTAGACAATTATTAATGCACACTAAAACTAGTGGCAGAAATTCGTCAGGGAACAAGATATTTACTTAATTCCATAATATTTCCCCACAGTGCTGAAATTCAACAAATACTACCAGAAGCAAATGTTCAAAGCTTATGCCAATGTTAGAAAACCAATATCATGTAACTTTGATGTGATGCATTAAGAAGGACACAACATCACTTTGATGGCATTCCTAATGAAAATGGATAACTTGCATCTAATTGTGAGAAAATATCAGACAAACTCAAATTGAGAGACAGTCTGCAAGATAACCTGCATATTCTCTTCAAAAATACCAAGGCCAAGGAACACTGAAAAAGGCTAAGAAACGCTTCTAGATTAAAAAAGACATGACAACTAAATGCAATGTGTGATCCTAAATTTGATCCTGGGCCAGCAGAAAAATAGCTTTGAAGGTCACTGTTGGAGCAACTGAAAACTGTTAGATGTGGCCTATGAACTAGAAAATGGTATTTTGTTAGTATACAGTTTTATAACTGTACTCAGGTTATGTAAGAGGAGGTCATCATTCTTAGTGTGTGAAGCACAAGTGTAAAGGAAGATCGTGTTTCCAACTTACTCTCAAATAGTTCAGAAAAAAATAATAATTTGCAAATAAATATATGGATACACATATATATGTCTTTCTATCGTCTATAGTTTGAATCTGTGCCTTCTAAAATTTATGTATTGGAAACTTAATCCCCAGTGCAACTGTGTTGGGAGGCAGATCTTTTTGGGAAGTGTTTAGGTCAGAAAAGACTAAGGGTGATGAAAATTCTATCTTGACAAGTACTTCCATGATTGCATATCAGAGAGAAAGGAACATAGGAAATCATAAACTGGCACTTAAGTCTCCTTGCCAGAATAAGTCACTTTTGCTCATTTTTCCTTGGTTAAAGCAAGTCATATGGACACATCTATTTTCTCAGGGGGTGGGAAGTGCAATCTGCCTGGAAGGAAACTGTGAACAGCTCGAAGGATGCCCACACACAGGGTGTATTACATCACACAAAAGTTATCATGCTTATCAGTTTTCTCAAGGAAATTGTGATTGCAGTTTCTATGTCCCATTCATTCTTCCATTCAACTCTTCAAGACCAATGTTTCATACAAAGAAGGTACTTAATGCTTATTCACTGAATGAATGGACATCCAGAGACTTTTCTGAGATCCTAGAACCTATGGGATTTGCATTCATGTTTCTGAATTTTTAATCTTGTGCATGTTTCATGGCATCACGCAATAAGAATCTATAGAATTCCTTGACCCATGGTCCCATTCTTATTAAGTTACGATCTGCTAGTAGAAACTATTCCAACTTTGCTATGTAAGATAATATTTTACAGACCTCAACCTATATGCAAATAACCCATTTCAAAATTTGCTTGCAGCGAAAGTATGCCAAAGAAATGCATTGATTAAAACCCCGCAAATGAAAACACATTTCATTTTTTTCAACCTGCCATGTTGTTTCACTTTTGCGTTTGAGAGTCTTTCTCTCCTCATTTCCCTTTCATGGCTCTTTTCATTACAAACTGGACCCCAGGGTCTTTTAGAATCGTATGCCTTTAATAACAAAAGCTAAAAAAACCTTTAAATGACTTCAAAAAGTACAGAAGATATCAAAGTCTAGACAAGACTTCAAAACAAATTTCACCAGGATGGCATATATTCTTGGTTAACTTATGAAATTAAAATATCTGATTGTGGTAAAATGTTTTAGATGCTCATCTATCTTTATTAATGTTATTATGGCTCATTTCTCAAGTCCCAGTGGAACAATAAACTATTAATGTCGTATTCATCTCTCTTTTGGAATGAGAAGAGTGGAATTGACTGCTGCAACAGTGCAGTGACTCAGAGAGGGTTTGCCTGTTACGTATATTGAATCATTATCACTTCAATGAAAGGCAACAAAATAGCCAATCTCATGCAGAGCAGCATGGTTTCCAGTGAGATTTCCAGTGCAAATTAGAATTTCATGTGAGGTAGAGAATGAATAGAGATGATAAATTCAGGAGGCGATGTTCAGGAATAATTCAAATGAAGAGCATCTGTTGTTGCTTGGATCCCAGGAAGCTGAGTTTGTTTCTTATTCTGCTGTATATCTGCCATATTGAGGAGCCAAGTCAGTGACTGGATAAGTGTTGTGGCTAGTTTTACCACCAATTACTGAAGTATGACAAACCCCGAATTGCCTTCCTTACTCAGACTTCCAAACGCAAAATAGAACCACTTTCTGTACCTTTGATTTGGGATTAAGTTTTGATATTTCCCTGCAAGGGTGAGCAATCTTTAAGCAACAGATCATTTTATGAAGTTTCTAAGATGAGCAAGCCTGTTTTGATAACATAAAATTGGCAGGAACTTGAGCTTGAAATTTGAATAGAGACCAAACTGAGTATCTGTACAAGTTTGAAGAGGCACAGATGATTTTATGCAAATTGTTTATGGAGTGTTTCTCCTGGGCACATCTGCTTGATCACATGGGCTGAAAGTGGAAGGAGAGATAGAAGCTCTTAAGTTAAAGGGACTATTGACTTGCTTTTTTTGGTTTGTTTGTTTTTTTCCAGTAGTTAGAAATTAAAAAAAAAGAGTAATATCTAACATTTATGGAACACTGTTGTTGCAGGACTTTTCCTTAATTCAGCTAAAGATGGGGTCCTTGTCCCATGGACACAAAAGTTTAGGCTTGTGGATGGTTTGAAGGGTGAGTAAAGCAGCGTTTTACTGAGTGAAAAGGGGGAAAAAGGGAAACAGGGACTCTCCGCAAAGCCAGAATCCCTGCTAGAGAGCTTCCCACCTTGCAGTTTGAATCCCAGTTTCCACACGGGAGGAGGAAGAGCCAGGCTCCTCCTGGCTGAAAATGGCATGGACTTCTGTGGCTTCATCCCTGTGTGCATTCCTGGTGCACAGACCTGTTGGAGTTTTGCCAGACCACCTGACTCTCATTGTTGTAGGACCTAGGCTAAATGCCTTGAAATTACTTAATGGTACTACTATTATCCTCGTTTTACTAATGAGGAAAGTGAAACTCAGGTAGGTAAGGGGCTTACCATTGCTTCACAGCAGTAAGTGGCAGAGACAGGTTTTGAACCTAGGCAGTCTGTCTCCAGAATCATTTTCTCAGTTATGCCATGGTACGTGGACATTCTTAGATAATACAGAATAACTCGAGAGGATTGAGTTAGTACTTAACCCACAAATACAACAGTTTGTTTAAAAGAATTTCAGAAAAGTTCAAATTTTTGCTCTTACCTTAAACTCGATAGAACATTCTTTTTGGGACAGGATGGCTCCATTCACTCCCTGGAAATTGAACAGAAAACCCAATTAAATAACAGGCCTCTAGGCTTGTGACCATCAAATCAGAGCCCTTATTAACATCATCAGTGAGAAAGGTGGAAATTCTTATCTCTCTCAAACTAGTACCTCAAATTGAATCATGGAAATTATGGAAGCTTGACATAGATGGTGTGAAAGAGTCTGATTATGTAATGGGAATTGTGCTAAGATATCACATAAGTTAAAATTGATAGAAGGCAGAACTTGAGTTCTTTAAGATTATATAAAAGTAACTTAAGTGTGATGACAGCATATTGGTAATTATATGGAGTTCTGCTTCATGTTTGACATTCTCCCAAACAGAAAATAAAGCCAAAATGAAATATATTTTTGTTGATCCATGAAACATCACCCAGTCCTCTGCATTTGTTACCCAGGTTTTCTGTTATGTTGTTTTTAAGCCATTTTCATGGTCTGGTGCTCCTTTTTGACTCAATCCATTTTCTCAGAAATTCTACCAGGAGATCTGATAGCATATCATGCCAATTGTTCACGAAAGTGTTGCTTTTGTTGAGTGTTTGATCACACTTTTCTGTTGAGGACTGAGTTGTCAGTTGCTTATGATATCAGGATAAGATGTATGCCAAGGAAAATGAAAAAGACATATTTGCTAAGCCTGCCAGAGGATATATTGACAATCGTGTCAAAACCCGAAAGCAAGGCTTCAATGGTTAAAATATATATGAGTATTTTTATTTTGTCAAATAATTCTAAGATTTGAAGTCCATGTATTTACCATAATAATATGAAGACAAGCAATCCACACAAATTGCAACCCCAACTTCTGAAGACATCCACCCGATATAGGAAGGATTAAGATTACTTCATTTATTCAACATGAATGATTGAATACCCACTGTGTTGTTCACTGTGGTATGCACTAGGGGTAAATCAGACACATTCTCTTAGTTTCCAGTCTAGAGGGTGACAAAGATATGCAAATAGATAAATGAAGCTGTATAATGAATAAGAATGTTATTCTTTACTTCTCTACCCCATAGACTCATTCTTCACCCTTCCTTTCCTTGCTCTGTTCCCTGGGAGGGTGACATCAATGAATTTCCCACTTACTATCTGGCTTCAAGTTGGGTTTAGCCAATGAGTCACTGGCAAGAGATTAGAGGGACCAGAGTTTTTCTTCCTTCCTCTCTTCCTGCTCCAGCATCTACTTTCTGGCAGTGACTGTGCATCCCCATGATTACTCTCCTAGTGTCCTGTTTTTCTGCAGCGTCAACTCGCACAAGGTTCTGGGCAACAGGACTTCCTCATCCTTTGTTCCTTCAACTCTCTTAGTTGTAGTGACTTCCATCGTTGCTTCTCTCTGACTGCTTGAACATCTCATGTTTATTCCCTTTGCCATGCAACAACCCAGAAATAAATCCTTTATTTAAACTCTCTTCACTTGAATGGCTAAGTTGAAGTTTGTTTCCTCCCCAAACTCTGACAGCTTCAATGATTATATTAGAGATACTAATTGTTTCTATTCATTTATCATTTATTCAACAATCATGGACATATTACTGAGTGCCTATTATGTGACAATTTACTAGGCACAAGGTATAGACCAGTACTTTCTGATAGAACTTGAAAATATTCTTCACTGTCCAATATGGTAGCCACTAGCCACTTGTGATTACTGAACACTTGAAATGTGGCTATTGTGACCGAGTAATTGAATTTTGAATTTTATTCAATGTTTATTAATTTCAATTTAATTAGCTCCATATGCCAATGGCTACAGTATTAGACAGCACAAGTATGGATTAATATTAATAGAGTCCTGAATAACTCTTTTGGAAAGAGGTATGTAAGGAGAAAGCAGGGTTTGCTCTGAGATCTGGCTAGGCAGAAGACATTTGACCTGCTTGTAGATGAGGAGGTCTCTGTATCAGGCAGAGAAACATGGAGAGTGAATTCTGGGGAGAAGAGCATCTTCTGTAAATGCTAAGAGGCTTTCACATATAGAAGGGCATGTTAGTATCAGAGGACTACGTAGTATTCAGAGTGGTTAGGTCTTAATGATTAAGGGGGATGTGGTGAAAAATTAATTGAGAACATTGGGTTTGAGCTGTATGTTGATGAGCCATATTTTATGTCTGTGTTACACTACTCTTTTATACTCCATTATAAAACCATTAGGTCATTTTAAAACATAGATATTAAGCAAATATTAATAATATGACATCTTTCTTTTAAAAATATTCCATTGAACTTTCAATTGAAAATAAAACATGATTATTTACAGTATGCTCAATTTTGTTGCCCCTCATTGTTTAGAGTTTAGCTAGGAAAGTGAACTCAATATTATCATATGATATGTCAGTGATCTAGCTTTATTCAGAGATGCCCCAAGTGCCACAGGGCACAGATGAAGGTTCCTGTAGCCAAATCTTAAAAGGATCAGAGAAGAGTTTCGGGACAAGTTGTGAGGTTTGGACCCAAATAACAGATTTGTGTTGTCTAGATGAATTTGTGTAACTGTATGGAGCAGGAGTTGAAGGGGAGGGGTGATGGGAGTGGATCAGAGTGTGTTCCCATTAGAAAATGATAACTGTGACATAGTGAGGGGGAAAGGAAGCTGGAATCATCTAAAGAAACAGATCTAAACAGACCTACGTTAGGAAGGACCACTCTGCTTGAGTGCCTCTGTAGAGTGGCTTAGGGAGAGGTAAGACTGCAGTATCAGTTATAAAGCCATAGTAGTAATACAGGGAAAACATAGTGGTATTTAAACACAGGTAATCTATATCTCAGGTTCTGAAAAATACTATGTCTCATATATGATTTTTCCCACTGCCAAAAACTTATTTATGTTTCTCCAAATAATAAAACAATTCTGCTTTTGTTTTGGGTCATAATAATAATAGCTGTTATTTAGCAAGCAATTACTATGTGCCAGTCACTCTTCCCAGCTTTTACATGTTGAGGATTAACTTACTAAATCCTTACAACAACTCTATGGGGTAGGCACCATTATTATCTCCTTATTTTACAGATGAAGAAATGGAGTGTTGGTGAAATTAAGTAAGCTTCCCAAGATTGCCCTTAGTATGTTCCAGAGCAGGATTTCAATACTGGCCATCTGCTTCTAGAGCCAACTCATTAAGTTCAACTCTTTTCTTTAAAATTCTTACAATTACCTTATGCTGATGCTTACTTAGTATTTGTTGGTGAAGTATTGTTTCTTTCTACCTTGAATATTGAGTTAGCTAGGAAGTAAGATAATCTAATGTAGTATTAACTTTGAAATATTTATACCTGTCTTGTAGACTTTGAACAGAAAAGGATGGTCATTTTAAGAAAGATGAAAAAAAGAATAAATGCTAATGCAGCCAACATCTTATCCTATTAAGGCATCTGAGATTATTAAATTTACTGCAGTTGTCTACATAATTGTCTCATTAATCAAAATGCTTTTCAGTTTACACATTTCAATGCGAATAGTTTTAAATGCTGAATATAATTATTTTAAAGAGGTTTTAAGGGGACATGGTTGACAGATTTGCAAAGCATCTTTTCTCTCATAGACTAGATCACTGCAAATGAACACTAAAATATGTATGTTTCTGGATGCTTGATGAATATTTGTAGCTTATTGGGAATCTGTATTTATAAGATTTACCTTAAGATCACTCATTGCAGCACAGTGTCATAAACTCTCGTTTCTGTTATAATTATGCTTTAGATTCCAGTAGATTAAATTTGAGATGTCCTTGATGCAAACCGTCCTGCAATTACACTATTCCAAGAGAAACTGTATTGTTCTTAGAAGTATTGTCAAAAGTAGTTGATATAGGATGTAAATTTCTCCCCACTTCAGATATGTTGTACAAAAAAGCACAATTTGGTTAGAGGTTTTGGTTAGAGGTGGGAAGCTGTTTGGGTGTCCCCAAAACCCAACACTCATTTAGTTCACAGCTTAGATATCTAATAACTCTTACTACGGTGGCCTTCACTTACCTATCCTGGATGCTCATCAATCTTGCAAAATTCCATCAGAGTCACACTAGGCAGCACAATTTGAAGCAGAATATGCCAACCAGTTCAACCTGGTAAATTTCCCATTTTGCCACCGAATCTGACCTCACATTGATTTTCTTTTACAATAACCTGCCTTTCTTATAAATAGCATTCTATTTGTTTGCATTAAAACAGGTACATGCCAATTAAATAAAAATGAGGTGAGAGGAGATGAGCTTATGACATTTGGCATCTATTGATATTCTTCCTAAATAAATGCTTTGGATCTCATTCTTTCATTGAAGATTGCATATAAAGAAGCCATAGCATGTACTAGTAATAATAATAATAATAACAGAAAGACAATGTTTACAGACATAAACAATTTAGGTGGAGAAATGTGAGACACCAGAACATGTCTGAGGATGCAGGATCATAGAAATTTGGGTTGTTTTGAACCATAGAAAATGTGGGGAAATTAATGAAAAATGAGGCTCTAAAAGAGTGTGAAGTCCAGGTCATGAAAATCTTAGATCTATGCTAAGGAAGTTAGATTTTCTCCATTTGCAGTAGGGATCTGCCGAGGGCATTAAGCAGAGAAGCATTCTGTTTTTGCCTTTGTTTTTTGTTCTTTTAGGGACACAGTCTCTCTCTGTTACCCAGGCTGGAGTACAGTGGCACAATCATGGTCCACTGCAGCCTCAGTCTCCTAGGCTTAAGCAGTCCTCCTGCCTCAGACTCCAGAGGTAGCTAGGACTACAGGCATGCACCATCATGCCCAGCTAATGGTTTAATTTTTTATAGAGATAGGGGTCTCCCTACATAGATCAGATTGGTCTTGAACTCCTGACCTCAAGTAATCCTCCCCCTATGGCCTCCCAAAGTGCTGGGAGTACAGGCATGAACCATTGTGACAAGCCAGAAAAAAATGATATAAATGCTAGAAAGTTCACCTACATTTGCATGGTAAAACTATAATCCAGAACTTTGTTATCATTAGATCTATAGCAGTACGAGATTTGGAAACTTATCACTCCTTTCAACAACACAATTAAAAGGATCATCCACCTTTTAATATGTTAATCAACTATTGGGTATTTGTTGAAGAACTAGGGGGTCTTCACATCTAAAGCAGCCTGCAGGCAGCATTGACAGCAGGCTTCGCACATGGAGATGGCTGGTTTGGTTGAAGCTAAGAATGTTTGGCTGCATTGGAGTCTCTCAATGGAGTTCTGCTTCTTTCTCTAGAGAGCTTAAAGCTAATAGAAATCAATTGAAATTGGGTCAAGTTATCAACAGTGAGCTAAAAATCACAAGAGTGGCTAATCAACTGCTGTCTAGAGAAAATCCCAAGTCAAACATATGGAAAATGAGGCTTATGAATCATAGCTCCAGCTTGGCTTTAGCCCTGAGGCAAATAAAACTAAATCAGTAAAAATATATTCAGTAGAACCATAACTTATTCTAATTCTGTCTAAGGCATCTCAGTTCTAAAAGCAGAGAATCCTCCACAGACCTAAAGAGAACAATTCTTCCTCTATCCCTAGAATCAGACTGAGAATTCAATGCTGGCATCACCCTCTCCAACTGTTGTGATTTTGGACAAGTTACTTAAATGCTCTAGCCCTCATTTTCTTCATCTTAAAAATAAAGAAAATAAAAAAGAAAACTGGCCAAATCTGTATCAGAGGGCCTGTATGCTGCAGGAGGGCAGAGACTATCTGTATTATTTCCATAACTGAATCCTCCCTCAGTGAGTAGCTTAGAATCAGGCATATGGCAGGCATCTAACAGATGTTTGTGAAAAGCTAAGTAAGTGAATGAAGAGATAGAAATATTATAATACACCATGAAAGTGCTTTGTGAGCCACAGATTGCTGTATGTATGGTGACATCATGATGCTTCAGATTCTATAGGTTTATATCCTATATAGAAGATCTCCAACCATTTTCCTCTCTCCAAAAAAGCAGCAGCTATTTGCCACTTATTATTTGTTAGACCATCATATTTATTTCCTCATGCATTTCTTATGACAACTTTAAGA